CTTCATTTTATTTTGTTGTCGTGATGAAAATAAAAAAAAAAATCTAGGTCGTTTTGTTGGTTTTCGGTAAACGCGACAACTAATTTGTTATAGTTTTGAATTAGTGAAATGCCGAATGTTAAGGCGGTGTTTATTTTTCCCCGTGTGTATTAATATATCGCTAAAACAAAAACATACCAAACATGATAAAAAATTAAAAATATTGAACATATTCTTAAATTCACATGAATATATTTGATGAAGAAAAACTCATTGTAAATATCTGAAAATCTTACCTAGTTATTTCGTATATAATGCCAAAAGAAAACGGTATATCATATACAAGACTAAAAAAGGAAGTATAAACGCACGAACTAGATTAAGCATCGAGATACATCGGACGCCAAAACGAAAAAAGGAAAAAAACGATTTTAAAGCTAAGTGTTCCTGTATCTTCAGCGTTCTCAATGTAAAATTATAGCCGGTATTTCTTGCGTTTCTTTCGTCGCTCGCATCCGAACATCGGGATTGTCATCGTCTGTCTATATTCTTTCTCTTCACCCACCATGTGGCGGCAGCAGAGATGGCTGCGAAGGCCCAGTCTACTCCTGAAGAGTCGTAAGCAGGAGTCAAAAAGGAGTGTGAGGTAAGGATGTGGCTGGGCGAGTCGGGCTCTACTGACAGTACGTCGCTGATTTTCATCTTAACGGCTGAACTCGAAATTTTCGTTCCCCAACCCGAATGGTCATACGCCGAGAAGGCTGATTTTCAGGAACAGTTTCCCATGACCCCAGGATGACATGTTGGAGTCAAGTGGGACGCATTCTGGACACTTGACCCGCCCAGAGAAATGATGTTGAAGGATGGTAGCCTCGATGCTGAGGAGAATCGTCCGAAAGAGAACCTCGTTGTTGGTAATGCACTCCTCCCAACTAATGTGAAGGATTCTTCGGAGCTTCGTTCGCTGGAACTGCTCAAGACGTTTGATGTCCCGAAGAAAGAAGGTCTATGTCACACAAGCGTACAGAAGCGTGGAGAGGACCACAGCCCGGAAAGCCAGTTTTTCATGTAAAAGTCAAGTTCAAACAAAGGAAAAACAAAGTTTGTTTCTCATATAAAGACTGACTCTATCGATAAAATCATCATAAGCCTCTCGGGCTTTGCTTGTCCCCTCGCATATTTTCAGGCATATATCTGCCATTGTGACAAACTTTGCTATAAGTTCTTTTAAGTTTTACCTTTGTTAATTTTTGACTAAGTTGACTTGTTTTGTTAATTTTTACTGCTTTAATTACTGTAACATTTTTATTTTATTTTATTAATTTTAATTTCCTTTTTCTTATTTTTTCCTTCTTCAATATTCAGACCAAACTTTGTTTTGACATTTTGAATTTCTGGTGTAATCATTTTGTTACACTAGGTTTTAAATTTTAACTTATTTTTAAGCTTTTCCTTACGTTACTATTTTTAATTCCTTATTTTGGTTTATAGTATTTATTTCGTATAACCGGGTAAATTCTTTTACACCAGACTTTGTTTTTCTTTTGGTTGAACTTGATTTTTACATGAATTACAAAGTTTGTTCGCTTTTGTGTTGGTAGCGTTCATATTGGTTTTCTGTTTAGGAATTTTTTTTTTTTTTTATAAAAAAAATTACAGATAGACCTCGAAAAATATCTCCAACTGAACGTTAAAAAAAAAAAAAACTCTTGGCTGGAGATAAAGTCTTTGACGAAAACAAATGCTTTTTGTTTTCGCAGATCCGGTGGGTAGATTTGTGTATTGGATGTTACCATGAGGGATAAGGTGGCTTCACTTCATTGGATCTTATTCGCCCCGTTACATTTTAGAAGGACCAGATTTGTTTCCGCGGATTAGATGAATTTATTTTTACACGACATCTCGTCGGCTACTTATAGGTACCTCCATGAGATTGCTAAAAAAGAGCATAGCATGATGAAAAAGACGCCAAACTTGACGAAAACAAAATTTTATTGTCTAAATGTTCATGTTATTATTAAGAGAAAAGATCAACGTATTTTGGAGGTATATTTTAAAATTTTTTAATCGTTCCGAGCACGTCCGAAATTTTCGTTAAAATTTTTTTTTTTTTGAGTCAGCAAAATTAACATTTTTCCATTTTATAAAAAAGATGAAACTCTCACTTTGAAATTCTTTTCAAAATCAATTATCATTTTTAAGAAAATCAGAAATTATAATGTTAAAATATTTTGAACCAAGGTTGACTTAGCTTCTGCGCCGAAAAGATGTAATTTCAAAATAAAACAAAGTAGGTCATAACATTTCAAGTCACTTGACAGGTGTTGAATGACGTAGTGACGGATTTATGTGATCATAATTTGTTCTACGGAAGGAAAAAAGTTATTTAGATTTAAGTGAACAAATTATTTACCTCGTTATTTTTAAGGAAAACTTTCGGCGCTCTATTTTATTTTATTTAATTTTATTTTTTTTGTACTTAGCTTTCACCTTTACGTTTACGATGCTTTATGGAAAATATAAAGAAATTAAAATAAGACTGTTAAGAGTGAGATTGAATTTCACAAGAAAGGTATCTAATTAATTTATAGGTACCTTTCTTATGAAATTTTATCAGAAATGTACATAAAATGCTATAATTTTATGTACATTTATTACATTTTACTGTGTTATTTGTATTTCCATTCATTTTATTATTAATTTTGATATTTCATTCATGGAAAAAGCCATAACTGAGATTAATATACAAATAAGATTATATAAATTTTATAAGATGATACTGATACTTGTAGATACCCTTCTCAGTTGAAATTGAAAATTCAAATTAACTTCTCCACACGTGTTTCGCAAAAAGTCCTTAACAGCGGAGAACAATGCTTAACTCAACGCAACTTAATTGTATTTTGGTTGGTCTTCCGTACTTTATAATTAGAGCCCGATTATAAACACAAAATTACATTTCTTAATTAATGCGGATCTTTCGATTAGTCAAAATGATATAATTTACAACGCGCTACAAAAGAGATTTATCCCATAAGGACACTTAGGAAACCCGATGCGACTTTTAACTAATTTTATAATATTTTAACAACTTAAATGTAAAAATCTATTATAATTAAAGAAATAAGAAATAATTGTATTAAAAATTCATTTTTCACCAAAAAATGTTTTGCTTTCAGAAAATATTGTCCATATTGATAAAAACAACTAAAAGCAAATAAAAGCATTTGAAATTAAATAATATCTTTGTTTTATTGCGTTTTGTATGTTACAATTCAGAGCTGATTTTCAGGTAGGGGGATCTAATTAAAAACAAAAAAAAAACGTGATTTGCATTCCTCAAAGCCTTGTGCTTTGAACTATTGTAATCACTAAATTTCAATTGGACAGACGAACCTTGTAAGATACACGGCATTTGGTCTTGCATGAAGCTCAGCGTCTTTCTTTAAAGGGAGTACGAAAATTTGTTTCGCACATATACCTCGTCCTTCTTCACTAGTTCCCTGCGATTTCGCTCTCGTATTCCCACTACTGAGTTTAATTCAAGGTATACCAGCAGACCTACTAGTAAAACACAGCTGAACGCGGTTTAGGTATGTAAAGCGTTGACATTATGCAGCATCTGCTTCCGCATTAATTCCTTAATCGCAAAGCGAATTCGGGAACGAAAACGACCATAAAGCCGCTCCGGCTTTGTAAAGTGTGCACTCATGCAAGGGAGATATTCGACCAATGCTTCATGGTGAGTGATTCTTCTTTTATCACAAGTTTTGAGGTTCTTCTTACTGGTGAAGCAGTTGTCACGTTATATCGTTAGTGGGGTTGTTCGAGATGATCTGATGTACAAGCTCGGCCAGATGAAGTAGCTTTAGAAGCTGTGTTTAAATAATAACGAGAGATCACTAAACGAATCAGTGTTGCGTAATGCTGCGAAACTAACTATTACTCTGAAATATGTACGCCAAGATGAATGGGAGAAGTCCATCTATCACTGCAGACTCGTACGCCCGTTGTGTACGATAGTTGAATACCTTAGGGTCCACATGCTAAGCGGAAATTTCTTTATTCTCGAGGCCGGTTTTGTCTGTAGCAATGTATTGCTGCCACTAGACATAATATACAATGTATGTTCTTGTGCTTCCTGGCACTGTGCGAGTCGTGGCATGGATGACGCGACAGAAGAAATTCAATGTTTACCTCTTCTCAGTTGATCTTGCTCTTTAAGCATCAGTTTAAAATCAAGATTAGAACAGAAAGAAACGACTCTGCATCAGAATTCGGCAAAATATGGGTGAACAGTGCCAGTTTGTGCTGTGTGAAAAGCGCTGACATAGCGGCAGGTGGATGTCTGTTTGGCATCATGATTTTGATAGTTTTGACTGGATTAGAGTATTTATACTTGTTGGTATGTTTATTATTAGAATGCACTGGGATTTCGCAAATAATTTCTGTAACAATTTTTTTCTTCAGGATAAAGGGCCCCTCGCAACAAACACAGAAGAGAAAAACGTCGAAAGTTTAAGCCCTCGTGTCAAATCTAAGACTAGTGTAGCTGGGAGCGAATTAGATAAAAAGATAAGTCTAACGTTTTCAATGCTCACCACCCCAAATGAGGAGTGGTGAAATTCATTTATTTTCCTGGGAAGTTAAGGGTCAAAAAGCGTGGTGGCACTTCCCTCATTATAAAATTTTTTGAATTATGCACACTTTTAGATGTTCCCGACTTTACAAGTGTCTATTTATAGCGAAAAAATAAGCCTAAAATTTTAATGTTGATTTAGAAAATCAGTAAAAATATTTGTCCTTGATCTTTCCTAAAACATTTTTCTTAGCTTTGGGGAAGGCTTATGATAGTTTTTGTTAGTGCTTTTAATTCATTTTTAATGTTTGAAAAAAAATACTATACACCTTGTGGAATAGGAGCAAGAATATAGGCTTTAAAATTCAGGTAGTTATGGTATCTGTCATATAGAAATGCACTGGAATTTCACAAATAATTTCTTTAACAATTTTTTCTTCAGGATGAAGGGTCCGTCGCGACAAACACAGAAGAGAAAAATGTCAGAAGTTTAAGCCCTCGTGCCAAACCTGAGACGAGTGTAGCGGAGAGTGAATCGGAATTAATATACAAAATAGATGATGTTCCTCCTTGGTACATGTGTATTCTGTTGGGTCTTCAGGTAAGTGTATTTCTCTCTTGCAATAATCATTCGTTCTCTTCCTCTCCTCCGCCCTTTTCCTTTCTCCCTCTCTCAATAATTTTATGCTCTAAATAAATTCAATTAAAAACCAGATTTTGATGGATAAATTAAGCGACAATGAATTTTGAGAAACAAACAGCAATTAATATTGCGACTAGTAATAATTCGGAGCCATGTTGAATTTTTCTATTGTTTGGATAAACTTTCATTTCAACTGAGACTATTTCACACGTGCTGCCGATGCACAACTGATTCGGATACTTTACACGATCACATCACAAGAATCAATATTTGTCCAGTTGTAAATTATAAACTTTCAATGCATCTCCTTTATAAATAACTGTTTTTATATCTCGTCATTAGAGCAGAATAAAAAAACGAATATCTCTTCACCAAAAAAAAAAGCATTCAACATTTCTTCGGTTTAAGCATTTTCTTACTCCTCTCGACAATCAAAAGTCTCTTATTACCTTGGCAAAGCAGATAACTACGATATAACAGGCTACTTTGGTGTCTTGTAAAATATGTGTACTCATCAGAACTTCAAGGCAACATGTATCTATGTCTTATAAAATAAAATTTGTGCACTTGTATACCATATTTCTTTCTTTTCTTCCTTTCTATAATGTTGGGATTCAATTGAAAGCGTATATCCAAAGTCAGTCTAAATGGGTAAAAGTTCTGTATTCAAAGAGAACGCAAACAAAACAGGAACAACTGGATGTTGGCTATATTCTTTATTTCTGATTTTATCATATCAAAGCAACATTATTTCAAAGAGTATGATTATATTTTTAATTTAAACTATATTACTAATGGGTGTTGAAAAATTTTCGCTTTGATCCACATCCCAATATTTTGATGTTTACACCAAGGATTCAATGGATTCCAGTAGGTTTATCCTTCAAACTGAGGTTAGATATATACCTACATTCTGAATAAGCTTAGCCTAACACAGGGCTATGTAAAAAAAAGAAGTTTGTGTAGGGTCTTTCTCTTCAAAGTAGAGTAATGCTCGTTATATTTGAAAACCAACATTCAAAATATGTATTTATACCAGAGATCGAACAATTATTGATGTTGGTATGAAATACACGGTCAAAAAAGAATTTCACGATTTTATGAATCATTGAATGTTGGATGATGGTAGCTTTAAAAGCAAGTTATATTCATAGTCCAAACAATGAGGAATTGATTTTATTGTTAATGACCTGCGAGACAAGGCCGCTACCAATAAAACTCTAACGTTATTATTTAATTATTTTTCGAGAGAAGAAAAGAGGAAAAACGTTTTGTGTTGTTTCTCAATGCTTTCATGCTTAATTAGAGAAGATTAAAATATTTCGATAGTATTATGACATTGTTTAAAATTTCTGATAAAAATATTTTCGAAAGATTAAAAAAAACTCTGAAACACTCGGCATCGTTCATTATTTTCTGTGAAAAGATAAATTATATTTATACTGAAAATTTTATACTGTCTTAATGGTCCGAAGAAACACTGTTTATAAATGCTACATGTAATCACTCAAAATACTGACGTTTCATATTAATATTTACAGCACTACTTGACAGCATTCGGTGGCAATCTGATACTTCCAATTGTTGTGGCAAACTCAGCGTTTTGTATGAATGGTGACAGCGTTGGAATTAGTGAGCTAATTTCTACTAGTTTCTTCATATCTGGATTGAGCACTTTGCTTCAAACTACATTTGGATGTCGGTAAGTTAAAAAAAAGACAATATCAAAATTTGAATGGAGTTTCATCAGAAAAATGATTTTGATCTCTGCGATTTGTAAATTTGCAGACTTCTCTTATTTGCCAGTAGTAAGACCGTACACTATTTTTCTTTTTGTTTTTCATTTGTATCATTTATTCATTTCAAAAACTAATCTTGGTGGATTTTCATGCGATCTGATCTGAAATTCTTATCTGAGTAATTTTGTTAATAGAACGTTTAGATGTTTAAGGAAAACAAATCCTTTCAAAATCACTTATCTTTTTCCTACATTCCTGTATCAGAATGCTGAGTAATCATCTTGCAAACATCTAAACAGAAAATATTTACTTGCTGATGTCACCACCTCGATATTTAGAGGCTATGACTCATCTGTTTCTTTTCTTTTATGAGTCTATCTTTCATATTCTTGTTGCTTTTGGTCACATCCGTCTATATTTAAATACTTGTCAGTGGCTCAGAATTGTCATTTGGTCAATGCTCCTAACTTCATTTGTATAGGCTTTTTCATTGCCGGAAAATAAGAATTGAATATGTGTTCAGGCACAAAGAGGCAGTTTTTCCAGACTTTTCCTTTCTTTCAGAGAGTGGCTATAGGAGGAGGTTTGAGCAATTTTTGTCCTTAATCAATGTACGAGTGGGCTACCAATGCACTTTAAACTCAACCTTGTGTTGCGTTATTATTAAATACCTACTACCTGTCCTTCAGGTCGGGATCAAAGTGCAGTTCTGTTATCCTGGAATTCGAACCCTGCGGCAGCAACTTCCTCAATGCACTAAAGAGGAAGAGTTTGTGAATAATGATGCCAGTGTGATAGGTTGCTAGTACTAGGCAGTTTTTGTCTTTGACCTATGTGTATGGCAATTCCTATTAAACTGACCTTGTTTAATATCTTATTACTATGGGGATGTAGGTAAATAGACTTAACCAGCCTTCAAGCTGTTATCAAAGTGAAGTAACGGTTCTCCATGTCTCAGCCGTGTTGGTGTTTTCAGACAATGTCAAAGAAAGAGATTGCTTGTCCCAGGGATCCCAACTCTGCGGGTAGAAAGTGGAAGGGTCGGTGGAATATCGGCAATAGCCTGACAATGGTCACGGAGACCGGGCAATTTTGGGGTTGGCCGATGGCAACTCCATGTTAAAAACTACCTTGTATCGCATCTTGCCATTGTAGAGATGTGTGTAAATAAACGTGACCTTCGAGTCAAGATCAAAGTGCAGTATCTGTTCTCTCTCCCTGTAGCACCCATACCATTGCACTAAAGAGGAAGCGCTACTTTTATTAAGTACTCATGAGGGGGAACCAGAAATCACATCTTAAACAGGAAACAATAGATAAGCTTCTACTTCTGTTCAAAAGATGAGTAGAGTATTGACCGGACGGTAGGCAGACTATTGAAAAAAAATGATAAATAGAATAGGTAAGTTATTTCCACTGTCCATCCTTTTTGGTCCCAGGTTTGGTGTTTTTATCTCCCTCTGTCTTCCGTGCCAGGACGAAAGATTCAGAACTTTCTACAATATTTTTAAATTTTTTATCTCGCATTCGCAGAGAAGAATAATGAATTAACAATCACAAATTTTAAAATTTAAATCTTCATACCCCACCAAGAATAATGATCAATAAGATTGTTCAGTTCAGCTTTTAGCTTAAATGTTTCATCTTTACAATTATTTTCAACAAACTGATAATATTTTGCACTGCCAACCATCTTAATAGACCATTCTGTTCCCACTGTTCATCCTTTTTGGAGTCAAGGATTGGTGCGTTCTTTTCTCCCTCTATCTGCTGTTTTAAGACGAAATATTTAGAACTTTCTACAATTATCTAAGCTTAACATAAAATGTGTTACAAATTTGTTACTGTGTTCTAAAAAATGAGAATTAATACAAAATAATAACAATGAACTAAAACTTCAAGCTGGAATTTATACTATCACCTGTAATAATTGTCATAAGGAAAATATAAGAGAAACCTCATAGAACTTAAAAGATTACATGAGCACAAAAGGGATATTTTACAAAGCAACACACTCAGAACATTATTTCTTCACTGTAATGTGTTTGACCATAATTTTGATTTAAAATGTTATGTTGATTAAAAGAGCAATTTACTAAGACGAAAATATATAGAAAATGGTTCAATACTAGATCATCCACAGTAAATTTGCGTTCATGTTTTTACAAAATTTCATCTTTCTTAGCAGATTTTTTACCACAATGTGGGATATTAAATAAGTGATAAAAATATGAACAAAAAGAAGCTAAATGAAATCAACTAGACTATATACACCAAAACATTTTTTTTAAATTAGTGCCCACTATAGACATGCACATGTCTATCAATGTAAACATCAGTTAAAAGTCGTAAAGGACGAAACGAGTCTTATACACACACACATATATATATATATATATATATATATATATATATATATATATAACTACAGTGTGTGTGTTTGTGTGTGACCAAGAAACTCTTCCGCTTCCACTGGTCCGAATTCAATGATTCGTAGCTCATTCAAAAGCCCTAGAAAAGTTAGGCGCGCAGGGAGCGATTTTCGTTGAGCTCAGATTCACGGTTGCTAGATTATGCGAGGTTAAAATATATATTAATATATTATACTAGCCATTATCGTTGCTTTTATGGTTCAAGGCGAGTAACTCTTACTTCCTTTTTGTATCCATAATTGCAGCTCGTTAAAATTTTAAGCTATCGGGCGGCATTTAAGCTAGCTCCTGTGGAGAACTCTTGGGAAGCTGTGACGGAGCATTTGGCTGTGAACTCGTAGATATTCTTATCATTTCATACGTAGCAAGAATACCAGAGAAAAAAGATATGGGCTTATATAGAGATGATGGCCCAATTCTAATAAGAGAACACAATGGTCCCAAAATAGATTTAAGAAAATATATTAAACGTTCTAAAACAATTGGATTGAAAATAAATATAAATGCAAACACAAGAATAGTATATTTCCTAGACGTCACCCTCAACCTGGACAAAGAAAACTCTGAACCATATATAAAGGATAATGACATTCTCACATGCATACATACATATATACGTCCTCCAACGCCATATAACAACGCACTAAAAAAGCGGATACACACAACAGCTACAATATACACCACCACAACCAAAATGAAAAAGCAAAAAAGAAACATAATTTGGTTTAACCCACCATACAGCAAAAACGTCGGAACAAACATCGACAGGACATTCCTAAACCTAACTGAAAAACACTTCCCTGTAACAAAGCCCATAGCAAAAATATTTAACAAATATAACGTAAAAGTTAGCTACAGCTGCACTAAAAACAGAACACAAATAATGAAAAGTCACAAAAAATAACAACTTACACTAGCGCAATCAAAGACACCCCCCAATGCAACTGCAGAAACAAAACCATATACCCACTATAAGGAAATTGCCTTCAAACGAACATTGTAGATAAAGCTAAGATAAACGCAAACAACACTACAATGTACTATATTGGCGCCACAGAAGGAACATTCAAGCAAAGAAAATACACCTACGGCCTCTCATTCTTCAATAGAAAATACTCCAACAGCACCACGCTATCCACATATATATGGCAACTAAAAGACAGAAACATCTTACTAAAAATAAGCTGGGAGATCATGAAAATCTCACCTGCCTACAATAACATTTCAAAGAGATGTCTTCTTTGTTTACACGAAGTAGTGGTAATAATCTCCTACGATCAACTAAAGGGATTACTAAACCAAACATCGGAAATCATTTCAAAATGCAGACACGAAAATAAATATCTACTATCACAATTCATACCAAATAGATAATACCTCCAACACATCTGATCACAACCAGGAATGAAACTACAAAAAAAAATAAATAAATAAACGGTAGAACACTAAAACGCAAGAACACTAAAAACCACCAAAACATAACCACCAACACCTATCATTAACACTACCACCACACCCACAAACACAACCACCACTATATCAATTAACAAAGATCGATACAACTACCAGCACTGTTGCCTACACTACCATCGCACCTGCGGACACGGCCACCGCCATGGCGGCTGGTGCATCCACCAGAAGGTATAAACCACTAACACTTCAATATCATTTTATAACGACGACTACTTTTTTCACTATTAATATTATTGTTATCACTTTATGTACCTACCGAAAATAGCCAATACTATTACCTTCGCTGTCAGTGCTGATGTTGCAAATTTGGAGACAGTCACTTCATAACCTTACTTAACACCATTAGTACTACTTTTTGCTATCGTCATTGTTTTGTTATTATTCTTATTATTATTACTACTACTACTATTACTATTTTCATCATCATTATTATGGTTACCACAAATATTATCATAATTACCATTGTCATTATTGTCATTTTTACCATTATACTTTCGTTTTCATCATCATTAGGGCTAAATTTACCGTTAACACATCAGTAGCTGTTGTTAACATACCAATTGTAATATCAATTATTAACACTATCAACATAGTCACAATCGTCAATGGTACACAGGCAGTCAGCATTGAAAATACAAAACATTATCACTATGTCCACACGCAGAACCCACTTAACCAAAGTGGTGATAAAAGGCCCAGAACAATAGGAGTATATGTGCAAGTCTACGTGTATGTATGTATGTGTGTGTGTGTGTGTAAGGAGGTGTAGATTTGTCTGATGGCTCAGGTGACCGATCCGAAAAGTCAAGAACACCCCAATCTATATATATATATATATATATATATAAGAAGAATCACAAAGGTACAGTGTCCGATAAAGGTGTAAACATACAATTATACTCCCCTGGAAATTGAAGAAAACTTGAAGGTCCAAAAATAAAAATAAATAATGAAATAAATAAATAAAAACAGAAATATCTTGCTGATGCTGCAAAAAAGTGCTCAATGCCACACGAAACAATGCGTTCGCGGTTCAAGGGCCTAATAATCCTTTCAAGAAAAAAGTGCCCAACAGAACCGGAATCACAAAAAACATCTATGGCAGAGCTTTCTAATATTAGTAGAAATAAGCAGCTCTTAAAAGAGACTGCCGTAAATGCACACTGGAAAGAGAAATGCGTAGCACCATATAAAATGTCAAACCTTTTCTAAATTAAGAATCACCTTTCGGGCGTACAGTGTCCAACCGTCGTGTGAAAATGGGAGGACATTTCTGTTTTTTACTTGTTTTTCGTTTTCTTTTTATGGGGTATAATTGTGTGTTTACAGTTTTATTTTGATCTTGGCCAGATGGGTGTTTACCCCCGCTTCAGGTGAGTTTAGTCTATGCATGTTGTGCACCCACCGTCCATATATTTTTTTCTATCTTAGTCTTGCCTGGGGGAATAAAGGTTCCCATTTTCCGACCGTCTAACGAATGCGTAAAACATAAAATTTATAGTTGTGGTTGGCCGCTACGCCTGAAAGATGATTCCTAATTTAGAAAAGCTCTGCCATTTTATATGATGTTGAGCACTTTTTCTTTCCAGTTTGCATTTACAGCAAACTCTTTTTAAAAGCTTTTTATTTCTGATATATATATATATATATATATATATATAAAGGAACAAAGAGGTCAAGACCGAATGGTAACAGTTTGTTTCATACTTGAACGCAATCTTGTGCCCATATGTGTTGGCTCAATTATTTATATATGCTGATCAATGGTGCATTATGGGTAGCAAGGTCTGTTATATTATCCTAATGGTTTTTAGGTGAGCAGCAACGGTTATATTTCAAATTGTCCTAGATTAAATATAACCGTTACTCTTAATATAGCTTCTTTTTTACTCATACAACACCACACTGTAACCCTCTAACTTGAGTGGCCCTTGGGCCTTTTATAGAGTGACCATCATTATAAAATGTTATTTTTGAATATGTATTTTCGCCATTTTCAAACTGTTGTTATATGGTAAAGAAACAGATCAGCATAATTGCATTTATTTATTTATACAGCTGTTCTTTTCTAATATATCACTAGGCTAAATAGTGATGTCTGTACAATATAGAAAATGTTACAGTAATTTTTAGGAAGGCTGTACTGTTTTGATTTCTCTTCTGGGCTAAAAGGTCACATTTATATTCAACCGAGAAAATTCACAAGGGTTATTTTCTTATCAATGCTAAACGTTAATTATACACGGTAATTTAACATAAGACTTTCATTTATTTTTTGTTTTTGCTTTATTTGTCTAGCCTTCCAATCATGCAAGGTGCAAGTTTTAGTTTTGTCACACCTGCTTTAACGTTATTTTCATTGCAAAAATGGCAATGCCCTTATACAGGAGGTAAGTACCAATTTATCTTACCTACTGAAAAAAAAACAATTTTTTACAGCCTTCATCTGTACAGGAAATAGATTCAGATTACTATAATGAAATAGGATGTTAGATTCAATGATGTGGCTATACTGTCATTTTTAATTTAGTACCAATTTAATAGAGTATAGACAGCAATATAAAGATGTCAATGTGTATGTTGGTCGGTGGGAGAATCGGTTGTCAAAATATACATTAGGCAATTCACTGTTTTAAGTTGTCTTTCTCTTAGGGTAGTCAATCAATCTAGGCAAGAGTACCCATGTTTCCCTGCTATTTAACCCATAAAAAGATATATTTTTGCCTGTTCCGAGGTCATCAGTGTGAAATTAACACAAAATGTCTCAACTTAAATTTGAACTCGACTCATCGATTTCATTTATTTCGAAACGGTTACTTAGGCCATTCGCAATCTAAACTATATGAATAAAAATACTTGTCACCACGGGAGAAGGAGAATCATGACTTTCTCAAGGTCTAAAGATCTATAAGCAGCCTCAGAATTCGATTTTGTTTCATTATTTCCGGGTTTGATAATCATGATTCCACTCCATACTGCATACCATACCAGCTTATGACATAAAAGCTAAATGTCAATTTTTTGTTGGTCGTGTCACATTAAACCAAATGGATAAAAATATTTAACGGAGAAACAACAAAAATTGACATAAATATTTGAGTTGTTATGGGTTCTACTCTATTTTATTGCACATAGAATTGTATAAATAGTGTTATTCTATGTTCAACAAAATGAATTCAAATCAGAACGTTTCAAATAAAGCAAAAATTCTCCGCTGCAATGACAGGATTCAGTTTAATTTATTGCGAAGGTGGGAGACCACAGGCTTAAGAATGGAGTTATTTAATACATTCTTGTGATTCATAATTGTGGTTATCTTAATAAAAGACAATTTCACTTTATGTATTTATTGGCTATTCAACCAAGTTTTTATACTTTTTTTGTTTTAATCATTTCACCCCAAGCAACCCGATAAGGTCACTAAGATACAAGTGGTTACTGGGGGTGACAGAAAATGAGATTTTAGGAAAAGGAACCAGAAACCCAGTTTTAAACAAGAAACAATGGATAAACTTCTACTGCTGTTCAAAAAAAGGGAAGGATTGTGAACTTCCGTTGCTATGCTAGCACAAGGTATTATATGCCTCAACTAAAAGCTAGCTTGACCCGTGTTTCGATAAAAATGAATTTCATTAATAAATAATAAAACTAATTTGTTAATACATTGACATTTTTTGTTTCCAACAACCATCCGGAAATTTAAGCTTACTAAATATCTAATGCACTTTGTATTTAAATCCCAACTTAATATATTTCAGATCTTTCTGTGAATAACACTCTACCTGATGTTGGCAGTGATGGTCACCGTGACATATGGCAACTCCGTCTCCGACAGGTAAATGATTTTATTTTTACCAGAATATAAATGAAAAAATCCCATTTGCTTATTTTTTTTTAACAAGAGAGAAGTGAAGACTACTCAAGTATAAGCATAATATGACTATCACTTACCGATATAAAATGAGACAATAACTAGAAAGATATTTGTTGTGTATCCTTGTCTATGAGCACCAAGTGATTATAAGTTTTGTAAGGCTCACAAATTCTTAGTCGTATTTTTTAATCATTTCACCCCAAGCAAGGCGGGAATGCCACTTGTTCACAGGGGTTTACAGAGAGTGAATGTGAGAGAAAAGACTGAGATTGTGAGGATTAAGTAAAGGACAAAAAATGGACAGGATTCAAGAATACAAAAGATGGCGATTGACGTTGCATTTAAATTTTTGAAGATTGTATTTATCAGTGAAGCAAATAAATGGAAGGGAGTTCCATAGGCAGGAAGTACGAGAAAAGAAACTGTTGGAGTAGAAGTGGCGGTTACATTTAACTATTTCAGCAGTAATCAGGTTGGACCTAGATGTCAATCTAGTAGCACGCTTAAATTCATGTAGTCGGAGCACCAGGGAAAAAAAGCTCATCAGAGCAGTTGCCATGAAATATTAGTAAAAAGACAGAAAGAAGCCATGCCAAAGTGTGAAAGTGACTGAAGTTCAGATGCCAAGTCAGAATTGATGGCATTACAGATACCTTGGATTCTGTCAAGAATCTTGAGATCAATAATAGAGGGGCTAGACCAGATATGGCAGTAGTATTCAATACATGGGCGAATGGTGGATTTCTAAATGTGCAAAATGGACTCTGATGAGAAAAAAATTCTGGCATGACTCAATGAACCAACTTCCCTTGCAGTAGATGTAGCTATTGATTTGGTGTAGTTGATCGGCATCAAGTCAGTTGAAAACTTGAGGCAACAAGGCGTAGTGTGTAGCTTTCCAGAAGTTAAGCATCAGTCGTGCTTATGGCAGGTAGAAAAGTCTCTCTATGGTGGTTAAATGAAAGCAATTGTGTTTTAGAGGTATTTAAATTTACAAGCCATTTCCTGCCCCAGTTAAACTCTGACTGGAGGTATTTTTCAAGAACAGCAGCCAGGTTTACTTTGTCAACTCTGACAGATTTGCTATTGAAACAGGTGTAAATGATAGTGTCATCTTCATAAATACCTACTTGGGAAGTGATGACATCAGGAAGGTCATTGATGAAGATCAGCGTAGGATCCAGGATAGAGCTTTGGGGGACACTTGCGTATGTGTAAAAGGATCTGGAAGCGAACTCGTTCAAAACGACCTTCATTTCACGATTTCATAGGAAGGATTAAATTAAATTAAACACACCTCTAGTAATACCGTAGAAGACCTTGTCAAATGCCTTCGCGATATCTAGAGCCACAGCTCTAGTTTCACTGTTATTATCATTTGCTTGATATGCATATTCATTGATGGCCGTTAACACATTAGTGGTAGACCTGGTGAAACTGTAGCCATATTGTTTGTCAGAAAGTAGATCATGAGAAGTAAGATGCTTAACCACTTCAGTATTGATTAGAGCCTCAAATATTTTGCGGAAAGCAGTAAGAGACTAATAGGGGCGATAGTTTGAAGGGTCACACGGTTTTCCAGAGTTCTTAAGAACAGGAATTACAGAGGAGGACTTCCACCAAGCTGGAAAGCAGGAAGCAGCGGAGCAATTTTTGTATAGTTTGGAGAGAACTGGAGCCAGTTCGGGAGCACAATTCCCTAGAACGAAGGCTGAGATCACGTCACTCCTGCTTGCTTTATGCCATGTTTGATGGATGTCAGTTATCAGTTATCTCCTGCTAATTTTCCCTCTGAAAGTTCTCTACTGCCTTAACCAGGTATTGAACTCACCTTCTTTGGGTGTCACTGGATCTAACCAACGCCTTTATCCACTGTGCCATGTGTCCTTGAGGAACGTGGCACGTGGAACTAGAACAGTCTACCCCAGTGATCGAAATAAAGGGTTCAGTTCGAAATTCCAACCACCTGAAGAAGTCCGGAGCGTACAACGGCCGAAACGTTGTGACAAATATGGCGACAAAGATGAGGACAATAGTCCGACTAATGTAAATACTGTACATAATACCTCATCTCAGAAATATAGACAGACTCTAAGTTCATACCATCAAACTTGCCACATTGATCTTTATTGCTGTAACATGCATTATCACTGAGCACCCCACATGTCTATCTTGCTTTGTGCTATACTATGTTTAAATAAAATGCTGTCTCTACAGGATCATAAATCTCCATAAATCCCTTTATTTTCTTTAAACTGCCATGACATTTTGAGAAAGATAGAAGAGTAGTTTCCGTTGCTTTCTGCACGCTGAATTCAGAGTAGACCTTCTTTTAGATTGTCTACTATTCAGTGATAAAGAGCCAAGTCTACCTTGCTAATTGACACATAGCTGGAGCGAGAAGATATAGATTCATGCTTTCCTCAAGGATACTAGTGCGAACGTAAACACAGCAGACTAGGTCAGAATTTGAACCCGGTTTGCCGATTCCACTTTCCGTGTGGTTATCTGTTACGCTACCTGTGCATTCTGTATTATGCTAGTGTTTATAAATAAGAAAACTCATAAATCCCTGGTGATTTTTATGAATTTGATCTTTATTGGTTATCTCTCAACACTGACTCTGTACTAAATTTAATACTGAACAATGTCAACTTCATTTTTTACTAACCTAAACATAGCAAATATATTAAACTTTGCTATTTTAAGTCCAGTGAATGTCATATTGACTGTATGACGCCATAGGATAAAATCATAAAATATTGTTTTCGTGACCTTGTAAACTAGTCTTACAAAATGTTGAAAAGTTATAGCATGTTAAAAAGTTTTGGTGTTTTAAAGAGAATTTTTATTGCTTAAGAAATGACCTTTGGTCTCTGTGTTGGTACCAACTGAGATAGTACAGGTTTTCTTGCAATAGATATTTTTCCCTCAGTTTTAAACACGAGCTACTATCATCTACATTATCAGTGAATTTGTTCGTATTCACCTGACACAGAGATCCAAGTTATTGTGTAAATGTTTCTTCATATTGTATTTTCTGTCTTGTTTCCAGTTCCAGGGTTGTCTGATGGTCGGCAGCCTGATCCAGATCTTCATCGGCTTCAGTGGGTTAATGGAAGTGTTTTTATCTTTTGTTGGTCCTCTTACCATTATGCCTACAATCACTTTGATTGGACTTGCGCTGTTCGAAGTCGCAACTAACTATTCTGCCGGACAATGGTACATTGCTTTGCTGTAAGTTACAAATTAATATTTCTATGTGACATTGATATCTCACCTTTAAATTTGGGTGTCTGATATATATAGTCAAAAATAATATTGCTGACTTTCACTCTTTACAGTAAAGTAGTGCTTAGTAGCGTCAAAAAGTTAGAGGAATAGATGAAGTCAAAAAAACACTTCCCTTTTTCCCAAATTAGTATGCACTGCGCTTGGCTGGTCATCTGGACCTTAGCACTCAATTAGGAGATCCTTGTTTTTGCAGAGCGATCGTCATAGACACTGGAGAGCAAATTTTGCAACGTGACATACCTGGCTTAGAGTAAAGACAGCCTTTTTCAATATTTTTCTCGCTTTTCTTTTTAGTGTCAGAGAGAAAGCACGTAACACATTTTATATTTTAACCTATTCTAAAAGGAATCTTTACGTTCTTCTTCTTTCTTTCGAGACATTATCGTTTTCCACCAGAAACTTTTGGTTAATTATCTGTACCGACGGCCAAACATTACCAAGTTTACCAAACATATATTTACTAAACCAACAATAGCTTTCATATGAGTGTATGTTTTTATGTTGCTGTTACTACTACAAGGAGGAGGAGGAAAGGGAATTGATCTGCTTAACTATCTCTGTAGAGTATTAGAATTATTGATTATCATTTAAATATACGAAAGGCCATTGTATAATTGTGGTTATGAAGTATCGTCGATGAGATTTCGTTTTTTACTTGAACTATTATTGAAATGCTAATAGTCAAGGAAATAATTTTGAAAAATGTTTATAGAATTTTTGATTATTATTAAAGAAAATGATTGACGTAACTCTTTCATTTTTTCAACAGTTAAGAAAAGAGTGCGATTTAAAAAGATAAAGAAAAAACACAGTGTTTGACAATGTTAAACAATATTTCAACACAATGTCTGTCTGTTTTCAAGTTATATTTCTGTTGAAATATTTTTTTAACATTGTCAAACACTGTTTTTTCTTTCCTTTATTTTTTCTAAAATTGCGCTCTTCTCATAACTATTATTATTATTATTATTATTAATAATAATAATAATGATTAAAGACGCAAAAGAGTGCACCCCCCACTGCAGTATTTGTGGTCATGAAGTATCATCGATTAGATTAGTTTCCATTTGATTTGATGCAATATTTTCCATTTTATTGAAATGCTAATAGCCAAATAAATACTTTTGAAAACAAATGTTTATAGAATGCTTCCCTAGAGTTTACTTAGTCGAAGATAGAAATAAGTGATTTGTAAATCAAATCAGTAAATGTAATAAATTGGTTCAGATAGTCTCCAAAGACATACATGACTGCATTAGAAGAGGTATTCACCGAAAATTGTGCAATTTTCTTTGGTTTAACTTTAAAAACAAAATAATTTTTTTTTATCTTAAAAACAAAATAAATTTTTTTCTCTATGTCTTCTTCTTTTCTAACAGGACGACCGCACTGATCTGTATATTTTCACAATATATGAAAAATATTGATGTTCCCTGTTTCACTTACAAGAAAGGCGGTGGATGCACAAAGACATCTCTTTCCTTATTTAAAATGTTTCCAGTATGTAATGTTTGAGATTTTCGCTTTTCACAAATAAATATATTTTCTTTTTTATTTCACTTTTATAAATGTAGTAACAACGTTTTAAAATAGCAAAAATGTTGGTCAATTTTTTTTATGAAATATGAAGCATTAAGATAAATACCGATATTAGTTTAGTCGACAGTAGGTTGGGCGCTAAAAGTCTCTTATCCGAGGATAATGCGATGTGCTGTGCAGTGCGTAACGATTTAGTTAGTTGGCATAAACTAGTGACAGTTTCAATGCTAAGTCAAGATAATTTCTCCCAATTAAGACCTTTCCATTTGACTCGCGTTGCCCTCTATAAATATGGGTTCACATAGACCAAAGCAAAAAAAGTTTATGCTATCATCCTTTTCCCATTTACTCTTTCACTAAATTCTCAAACCAACGTTTTAATCCACTAGGCTATTGTCCTGTGGAAGATGTTTATGTGAAGAACTTGGAGCTTTCAACGATATTTAATAGTCCCCCACGAGGAATGTATGTGGCACAAGGCCGAGTTTAACGTGGGTTTCTCCGAGCCCGTAGGTTCGGCCAAAAATATACCCTTTGAATCCGCCTAGAGGGGTTCAGGGCCTGTCTACCTCCCCGGACGAAACTTTTCTCTTCGCCACTTCGGCAAAGCTTCGTCCGGGTTCCTCTCTGCCAAAGCAGAGAGTTCGACAGAAGTCGTACACGTAGTCAACTCGTCAACAATCTGGCTGTTGATGAGTGCTGCTGTTTAACTGCACACAATGAAACTACTCTTTTGTTGCAGCTGCTGTTGGTTTTGAAGATCTTTTGACATTTTTCCTTCTTTATTAGTAGCTCTCATATCGTATATTTCCTAAGCTAGGCCTACTAAGGCGCCCCTCATAGCTTAGCATATGCACTTATTCTTTCAGACGTCTAACTTTTCAGTCTTCTTCCTTCTCCAATATTTTCACTTCATTCTACAGAGGTTGATGACTACATTTTTCTCTTCATACATGATCAGGCATGCTTAGTTTTATTGTCATTCCTCTCATTGCGGTTTTTCAATGTTCCTCCAACCTAACCTATAGAGAACGGCTACTTCAACTTTATATTCTTTGCCAAAACTGCAAGGAATGGAGTAAACTCAGACTTGACTCATCAGCAAGCAAATTAGGTTTAAACTTCTAGTTCTCCACATAGGATTCTCCCGTGGGACAGTAACCTAGTGTATTACAATGTTGATTTGTGAATTTTGCCACAATGCCTTGACCGGGTTGAAGCATTGTCATAATAACAAAGATTGGGATAATAGTCTATATGTAAATAATGATAACTCATCATTCCAGAAATTCTGATAGTTTACCCATATCATCAAAAACGTTGGCATATATGTAACTGATATTTTGTTAAGTTCTTACTATTATTTGGCTTTCACATTTATCTTGAAATATATATTTCCAATTTTTAAAGTTTTACTAGAATATTTCACAGGGTCGATCTTTTAACATCTTGGCTTCGTAACGCTATTAATTACACTGTAAAAGGCATTTATTTTCGATTGTTTTACATTTAGTTTTATTAAAAAAAACACTTTTGCTTTCAATTCACGCTATACATCTGATATTTTTAACATTCGACATTTTTTAAATTGTCATATTTTTTTCTAATATTGGCAACTGAGATCCACTGATTTCGACATTAAATAATTCAGCAAGCCTTCATATGTCCTAAAATCTACAAACTGAAATACAGTGCATCGCACTATATTTAAATCACTCAAAGTAATGCAGACAGCAGTGAATAGCTAGTGTTCTCTACAAACGGTATAATTTCTCTTTAAGGTTTTGGCGCATTAGCAACAAATTTTTCTCTGTTATTGTGGTTGCAAGAATTCCTTCATCAATCCTAAATTCATTAAAATCTGATGACATTTTTCCAGCTAACGAAAAGGTGAAATGTGAAACTATGGATAAATTCATGAAGACAACTTAGTGGCAGAGATAATTGCATATTTTTCTGTGGCACTGAAAGCGGCTGTGAGATTCAAAAGCTGATGATATCGAATATACTCGCCTTAAAAACTTATCTCTAATTTCATAATATACTAGCTCTATTTAGTTCAATCTTCATTGATTATCCCACTGTTGGACCTCTTTACCTGATTGAGTTAATTTCAATAAATATATACTACTTTAAACAGGCCGATAAAATTAACGTCACATTCTTACTGTTACTTGGTTTTCACATGTGAGTCTTCACTGTAAGGGGGATAAATTTTAAGCAAAAAGCCACTTGGTGCATAGGAAGATAAGATAAATCAAGGTAATTAGTCTCACAGGCAAGTTTTGTGAGTTAAATCATCGCTGCCTAATACAATAAAGAATAAATAAGGATTTTAACTTTTAATACACAAATGAAATGTTTATGAAAAAAAAAACCCTAATAAACTTCAAAATATGCATTTATATTAACATTATAACCATAGATTTTTCTAACGTCTTTTGCTGACTTGCTAGAGATTATCATTGCGACCTCTAGCAGAATTATGAGCGGGATTGATGGCTGGAAAGAAAATTGAGTTTACAAGGCTTTCTCCACCCCTCTGCACTGAGTTAAGGATAGTTTTAATGGAATCTTTGAATCATTTTTATAGCGCCCGAACAGTAAGGTGTTCCAAATCATTCATATATGGCAAGCTCTGCGCATTTTTTAAACTCTTATTCCAAAATCAGTGAGAAATTCTTATTTTCTTATTTGCAGGTATTATTTGCTATTTTCATATCCTGGCTACTCTGTTACATTCTCACCATAACAGACGTCTTCCCCAAAGAGAAAGGCGAATGGGGTTATGCCGCCCGAACTGATCTTTACAGTGATGTACTTTATAAATCAGCTTGGTTTCGTTTTCCATATCCAGGTATGCCTTTATATTTTAGTTGAGAGAAATAAAAATTGAATCCTATATCAACGTTCAGGATATTCACGAGTTTTTTAAATTACCTTCCTGCTTCTTTCTCTCACGTTCTTGCTTCGTCAAATAGGCGATCACTGCAGAACACTGATTAACCTGGCAAGTCATTCGCCTCTGTGGTGTTTAATCTTCTGTGACACTATTTAGCGGTTGCGTGAAAAATTAAAAGCGAGAAATAAGGCGAGAAGAAGCTATCACGAAAGACATACTGAGTGATGTTGTTTTTTTTCAAAGAAAAGTGGTAAAGATTTTATTTTCAATTGCGAAAAAAAAGTATTTTTCTTTTCGCAGAAGATAGGAAATTCGTAAGATCTCGGATCTGTCGGAATTAATTTATGCTATGACGCGGGGAATAAAAGATAGCAATCTGCCCATGGCAATAATGAAAATTTCAAATTGGTCAAGTGGCCTACAAAACAGAATGCTGGGAAATAATCGTAATTAGGTCAAGCACTGACCGATAATGGCATCAGCTGGGACCACCCCCATAGAAAAAGGAAGGGAAAAGAGAAAGAGAAAGAATAAACCATTAGCTATCTTTCGGAGATATCATTTGGTTTTGGGAAAGACACCTGTTTTATATCCAGACCTGGACATGATAAATGTTTGTTGCCGGAACAGATCGCTGGTGACAGGGTGCGAAGACGTCCAGTTGACCACCCATTTGACGCTTGGCGAAAATCTCGTTGATAAATTCCAGATGACATTCGGTTAAGATAGAGATTAAGGACCACACTATGAGTCGTAGGGGCCCAGTCGGGGAAAAGAAAGAAAAGAAAAAGGAAGATATTTTTTTTTCCTTTGAGCGATAATTTTAAACTGAGGCCAGACTAGCCACACCCACGATGCCGAGCGTTCATTGGCTGAATGGTGGCATGAGCAATGGGCGAAGGTAACCATATGAGAAAGAAGGAGAGGCCTGTTGACGCCACTGAGGGGATTGGTGTGAAATACCACTATGAGAAAGAAGGGAAACCTGTTGACGCCCCCTGAGGGGATTGGTGTGAGATACCAATATGAGAAAGGAAGAATTTGGGAGAACGATTCCCTTAAGAACCCCTCTAAAGCAGAAAGTAATGGACTTCCAAAAATGGAAGGCGATAAATTTTCCCGTCCGAAAACAAAGAAAATCCTTATAGTGGAATTAGAATTATCGAGGAACCCAAACCACGACAGGCCCACACCCGGTTTTGGTCGGAGTCCATATAAACGAAGTAGACAGCGAGAGTTCGGAGAGTTGGGCAGAGTCGCAGAGAGTTCCGAGGAGACGCAGATGCAGACAAACTTGAGCTGTGAGCTCGCAGACCAGCCTCGCAGGAAGCTGACTGAAAGATATCCACGCATTCCGACTTCGACTTCTAACCAAGAACAATGTATTTTTGAAGGACGACTTAGACTCACACCACCAAAACGAGTTTTATGAATATCGCCTGAAGATACAAAAAACCAATTATTGAAAAACAACTTAAGATATTAAGACTCGCCTAACAAACGCAAAGTGTCACGTATCCATATTAGCGGTTTGAGATTAATACTCAGTCCTGTATTCGGAAACCAGATATAAAAATATTTATTATTCTTTTTTAACACATTTGAACTTTTCGAGTTGTTACTTTATTTACTCTAATTCGGCTTGCATTAAGGCCCGGCGACTGATTGATTTCGTCTATCTAAGATCAAATCAAAACGTGGGTAGGTTAGACTAGAAATCAAAGCAGTTACTTCGGTAACCAGACGTTGGAGGCGAGCTGGGAACAACAAAGCTGATACTGAATCTAACCAGATTCCCATCCGAATCAGCCAAGGGTTAGAACGTCACATTTGGTGCCGTGACAGCATGATCACGTCACATTTGGGGCTGCGACCAATACCAAGTCACATTGGTCGTCACAGGATAGCACGGCAACGAGCACGGGAGAGGCCGGGTGACGTCACACTTCACTACAAGTTCAGTATTGTGGCTGTAGATCGGATAAACCTAAACTGAGTTTAAAATAAATAAAAAGATTGAAAATAACAAAAGGGTGCCTACTATAGAGTGATAGCTACAATGCGAGTCCCGCAAATCATTGTTGTGAGTTATATCCTCACTGTGTGATCACTTAATATAGGCCTATCCTAAAAATTAAACCAACATCTAATGTTCGCCAAGGTAGCTGTTGAAAAGTTATCAGTCCGATCAAGAAGAATTGCCCACAGTCATAAAATATGCATTTATTCCATATATTTACTCTGCGATTCAACACACTTGGCACATCGTTTTTCTAACCTTTCCTCTCACTCAAAACATTCTAATTTTTTATCATTTAAATGCTACTTTTGGAACATGGGTCGAGTCGAGAGACTTTCAATGTCCGCACATGAAATTAACTTTAAGAATAGGTAAACAGTATTATATATGTTAATAAAATTACCGTTCTAATCTACTTTGTATAAGAATTTACAAGGCTGGACTGAAAAGTTCATATACTGATTATGAAGGAGTGATGCTAGATCTTTGAAATCTGACACGCATTAATTTCAACTTTTCTTATTAATAACTGCATTGTTTGTTTTCAGTTAAACTGAATGTTCAAAGAAAAATTAAAAAGTAACTAGTGGCACCTTCTGGAAAATGAACAAAACTTGGCATCATAATGTTATCAAGAACTTGCAGCAGAAGTGTTTAAACACCCCCAGAACATTCATACTAACATGGTTGCAGCATTAGGTGATAATGATCCAAATTTATCAACAGTGTAAAAGTGGGAAGAAAATTCTTGAAGATGACACAAGGTCTGGACCTCCGGCAACTGCCACCACCGAGGAAATCATTGTATTCCGCACATGGTGATGAATGGCAGGCGATTGATTATAAATCAAATAGCTAATTCTATTAGCATATCCCGTGAGAGAGTTGAGAATATTTTACACAGTGAACTTGGAATGACGAATGTTTTTGCTCGGTGGGTGCCATGTGACACATGATCAAAACCGCTCTTGACTGATCCCATCTCAGAAAAATTTGTTTGGGGCAGATTCAGTTGCTTTCCTTGGACGTTTCCTCACTCAAGATGCATCACTTTGAGCCAGAGACAAAAAGACAATCCATTCAATGGAAACATCCCTCCTTAACTGCTCCAAAGAAAGCCGTGGTCATTTCATCTGCAAGGAAGGTGATAGCCTCAGTTTTTGGAATGCAAAAGGCATTGTGTTTATTAACTTCAAAAGTGCTTTACCTCAGTACTATGTCAATTTTCTGAAGCAGTTACGAAAGTCTATCAAGATCAAATGCCCAGGAAAACAGACGAAAGGGTCTTGTAGCATAAGGACAATGCATCAGTACACAAGTCCTTAGTATCAATGACTGTTGTGTGTGACCATGACTTTGAACTGGTTGCTCAGCCTCCCTATTCTCCTGATTGGGCTACATCTGACTATCATCTGTTCCTCAGCATGAAAAAAATATTGGCTGGGAAACAGTATCACAGTGACGATAACGTCGTATCTGTTGGTTTTGACTTTTTTGACCAACAGGATGAAAGCTTCTTCACCAGTGGGATGCAAGTACTGTAACACTGTTGAAGGAAGTGTGTGGAAAGAAGGGGGTATATGTTGAAAAATAAACCTCATTTGCTCACATTCCTTGAGAGTATCTTGGTCAGCTTTTAAACTTTTCAGTCGACTCTCGTAGTCTAATTTATTACTAATAATTGAGTATTGGTAGGCAGTATTATATTTCAATGTTCCTAAGTAAAATATTTTTCTGAAATGATTTTCTCTAAATTGCATAGTAAGATAAAATCATCACTTGTTTCAATCAACAATGATTTTATTTTAAAAAGAAAAGCACAGATAATAAGATAATCAGATAATAATAGACAAAAAAGTATAAAAACACTTTGACTGCGGATATAAGTTGCATCTACAATTGTATATCATCCTGTTTCAACATTAGAATTACACTAGACCTCAAATGTCTCGATTTCTTATATGTGTGCAAAATTTCCCATCACTTGTCAAAAAGTAACTAAATACACTGCCAGAGAAAGGTTTGTTTTTGCTGGAAAGGTTTGTACACACCTAATATTGTGTTGGAATAACAATCCGTTACATTTTTCAATAGGTGTTATTTAAAGACGTGATTTCATTTCATGTGAGTGAAATTTGTGACATATATTCTGAAAGATATCATTTCAATGCGTCATTTATACAATTTGTGTGCAGATTATTGATTTTAAATGTTTTAATAACTTTCAAATACATCATAAACTGCATTGGGCTGTATGTGACAAGGGCATAAGCCACACGATTGAATAAATTTCAATCAACAAAGTTCGATGGTATCCAAAGATACTTCTGAGAAGCCTTGAGATCATGATTTACACCAGGTTAATTATCTGATGAAAACTTTGTTGGGACTACTCCTTCAGTTGCAGTGTGCGTTTGTGCGTGTGTGTGTTTAATGTGTATGAAATAGGTTTGTGAATTAATGTTCTATAAACGCCTACAAATAATAGTTAATGTCGTTTGTTTATATTCATTATTTCTTCTATCAGGTCAGTGGGGAATGCCAAGCGTCAGTACAGCAGGCGTACTGGGCATTTTTGCAGGTGTGTTCGCTTCCATTATTGAATCGGTCGGAGATTACTATGCATGCGCAAGAATGGCTGGTGCACCACCCCCACCTGTTTCTGCCATCAACAGAGGTACGATTAAGGATAATATATTTGGTACAGGACCATAAATCAAACTGATTAGATGTCTACAATTATCAGTAACAACTACGATAACAAATATTTTCCCTGAAACATCTATTTTTTTGTCTTTATTATTTAATTCTAAGAAAATCCGCTGCTTATCTTTCAAAGTCTTTGTTTTATTAGAAACGGTGAACTTTTCGCTTTACCCTTGTTTCCTGTGTTTATAAAAACAGTAGCAACGAGAGTTACTTGGCTAATTTCTTCGCTTTGAATTCTATTAGTTTTTAAGCCAATTTCTCTCTCTTGAAAATAGTCCTGTACTCAAGTTGGATAGATCTGAAAAATGATCATTTTTTTTTTAATCCAGAAATCAGTGTATCTAACTGACTTCACATTCAATGCATTGATATAAAGAAATATGGTAACTAATTTAGTCCTTTTTGTATATAGGCTAATGGACACAATTTTTTAGAGCTTTTCTCCTTACCTCCAATTCATCTGACATCATCATAAAATAAAGCACATTGCTGGTAGTTGATTCAACTCTGGCTTTAATCTTTGCAATGTGGTCCTTCTGTGTAAGGGACAGTAGAAGATTAATAGGATGATAACTGAGGGATTCTTGGCATAAAATATTCATCTCCAGTTTCTTCCATAAAGATTAAGGGCTGTTTTTCATCCATTTTATTCAATATTTGAGAGAGCATACGACGATATATAAATTAATCCCGCTTTAATGGACATTTACAGATTAAATTTTCATTGAAACATTCAATAAGCATTATTTATGTTATATGTAAATGCAAAAATAATCACAATCCCAAATCTGTTTCATTAAGCCTTTTGCTTTCAACAAATCATTATTTGTCATATCTATTTTAGTTTGTCTTCAATGTCGTTGAGTATTTCGTAGAGTTTCTTGAATTCATATAAAAGCCAAAGTTATTCAGATATTGGACAATTTATATTTAAACTTTTAATCTAAATTTTAAAAAATTGTTTGTAATATGAAAAAACAAAAAACAAATCCTGAATAAAGAACATTCGTTGATTTTTAACAATACTTATATGTGTGTGAATGTATAGAACAGTTTATATATGTCATACATACATACGACATTGTTTCTTATTACTTTAAACTTTATATTTAGTGGCAATGTGTGCTGCAGTAGATATTCCTGTTTTTTGTTTTTTTTTAAACGGTGTAAATACTGCCTGGATGTACAATGTCTTTATGAAGAGACCGGTACATGTAATTTTACATTGCTTAAAAACAGGGACGTCAACTCAAACACGTGTATTCATTAAATATAACCTTTAAATTAAATTGTGTATATAATTTATCCAATTTCATTTAGATTCTTTTTCTTTATCTTATTTGTTATGAAATATCCCAAATTGTGATAATAGAAGATCTACCGAGATGATAAAAGTCTGAACGCAAATTTAATTGCGATTAAAGCACTTTCTAAACATTTTTCTCTCAGTTAATTGTTTTCTCTTCCAATAAGAGTAGCATTTTTTATATCAAAATTGTGCTCAGTCTCGTTACGCTAAGCAAGTGATGCATTTAATGTGTTGTTTTGTAAAATATCCCTTTTGTGTTCATATAAACTGTTCTCATGCATCGGAGAAATCTCAAGGAATTTAAATAAAATATTATTCAAATGCATTCCTTGGCGCAATTGTTTAATTTTTATGCAATTTTTACATGATTTTGATTTGAAAATGATCGCTGTTTATACTTTTGTGACAGTTTTGGTATTACTGTTCTCTTGAAAAATTGTTCTATTTTTGTTTTCTAATTCTAAGATTTTATTCATATTTTTTTTATTCTAGAAATATTAAAATACCACTCAAACGAAAAACATGACCTTGACAACTACAGTTGTAAGACTTTAACTGGACAAGTAAATATAAAGGAATGGACTATTTTAAGCATCCATCCTTTTCTTTTGCTAGAAATGCCTCCGTTCTGGGTATGACGACAAACTACATCCGCGAATGTGTAAAACGATAAACTACATCCGACAGCAAGGCTTTTGATCAGGAGCTTTTGAGGAGCGTGGTAGCACCTGTCCGGGTCCCAACTATGAGGAAATAGTTAATCCCCCCAAAAGGTGTCAAAACACTAAAGTATAAAAATAGATTTTAATACCAGCAATACTTTCTTGGAAAAATTATCAACAATACATTTTTGAAGAAAAAAAATATTACCAGCAATACATTATTACCAGCAGTACATTTTTGAAAAAAATAATACCAACAATATATTTGTAAAAAATATTACCGGCAATACATTTTTAAAAAAATATTGCCAACAATACATTTTTGAAAAAAAACAAAACATATTACCAGCAATAACAATCTTGTCGGCATTAAATAATCCATTGAAAGTGATAAGCCGTAAAACAAAACAAAACGAACTAGAAATGCCTGTCAGGAACACTACTTTGCTCAAGCTGACAGACAATACAAGACGGTTGAGGGAATTTGTTTTTTATGACTTTCTAATGAGCAGTTTGAAAATGTAATATTAACTGATGATATCTTAGCTCTTTCTGGGTTTTAATAACTGTTAAGAAATTTTACTTAGAAATCGGAATTCTCCTATGTAATGGTTGAAGTAGCTGCATGTTTCTCATCTGTTCCATTTGTCTGTGTTCAGACAAAGATAAAAGCCAGGATATCGAATGCTAATTTTACAAGGTTGATTAAACCTCATAAAACACAAAATTAGCACAACACCTCTTCAAATCACTATTTTTATTTAAATACACTCAAATGACGATATGATTTTTCTTTTTATAGGAATTGGAATAGAAGGTATTACTTGTTTTTTGGCCGGTGCCTGGGGAGCTGCAAGTGGCAATACATCCTACAGCGAAAATATCGGTGCCATCGGCATCACCAAGGTATGTGACAAAACTTAATATTTTTAAATCAAATAAATTGTTTGTAATCAATTTTTCTCTAATTATGTAAAAAATAAAATGTGCTATAAAAGTTATTTTTTTTTACCATCTCTCATTTGTACGTGTCCAGATTGCAAGCCGAAGAGTGATCCAAGTTGGTGCTTTCGTGATGATACTACTTGGATGCTTGGGTAAATTCGGTTCTCTCTTTGTCACAATCCCTCAGCCTGTGATTGGTGGAATTTTTTTCGTCATGTTTGGTAAGTAACATTTTTTTTAACATAAAGTGGTGGAAATGCAACCGAGTGACTAAGATGCTGTCAGAGATGAAAATCAGAACGGTTTCACTCTGTGTTGTCGCTATTTTATTTTATTTGCATAAACATCTTTTAATAAAGGCTACCTTTAATGTTGCCTTGTGCCACAAATTAGCAAACATAGTATGTTGAGGAATAAAATGTTGACAGCCAAAATGAATGTACTCAATTCATTAATGGATTTGAATATCAGTACTTAGTTAAAAGGTTCAGAAGAATTAAAAAAAGTTAGAATATTTGTATATGAACGTTTTCTATGACCCAATAGAATGTTGAGGTACCATACCAAGTAATTCCCCATCTTTCAAACAAAAGCGTTCACGTGGCGATATCAGTCTCCTCTCAAAGTAAAGTAAAAGTTTTATTTGATTACATAATACTAGCATCGAAGATTGACCCCTGATCTGACCTATTATTGAATACTAAATATAGATTTCATACACTAAGGTAAATGACGTCAGATCCCTTTGTTTTATCTCGGTATGTTTTATAGTTCTTTTTCTTTCCTCCAGCTTTTACATGTTTGTGAATCTGCGATATAGTTTTGTTTGTAATCTATGCATTTTTTGTTTTGTTGAGAGTTTGTGTCTATATGGTTTGCACCACTCCCTCCACACCTTCTGTACACTGTGTTCCACATACATCTATCCTTTTACTGTCCGAACCTTTGTCAAATAATACATCTGAATGGACCCACATAGGTCATAAAGTAGTCAAGCTTTAACTTAGAAGGGAACCTTGGTGTGGTAAATGTGAGAATGTATGTGGTGGAATATATATTTTATTGGCCATGTCCCTTTAAGATGTAGGCAATAATAGCTCTCTATAACATCTTGTCCTTTGTAGCTCTAACAAACGTTTGACTCTATCATATCTATTTGTTACTAGTTTGCATTCCATTCGCACAAGTTTGTAAGGTAAGTTAATCGCTGTTTTCCTGTTCCCCTACTGCCTTTAATACATCTTGTGAATGTTCTTTTTCTCCATTATGTGCTTTAAGAATTTCAATTGTCTCTTTCTGATTCTAAGCATATGTTTCTTTTTAGTTATCCTTTTATTTAAAACGTTATTTGAAATGTTTTCGTTGTTCACATGTTCACTCCATGATATTATCAGCATGTGTCTGTAGGACCACATCTCTGTCGCTTTGAGTCTCTTCTTCATCTGTAAAGAAATTGCCCAGTAGTCACTTCCCTATAGGAGGATAGTTATGACAGCACACTTTTCTTTGTTTTAGAGGAAATTTTCCTAACGGTACAAATCAAGCTTATGTTTCATGATCCCCGACCAAACTAAAATTTCTCCAGTCATGGTGAACTGTTGTATTCCCAATAAGGTTCATTGCCTTAAATGTCTGTTGGGACTCAAACTCACTCCACTCAAGTGGGACTCAGATATATATCCGTAAAGATGCTGGAAAATAATCAGTTCCTTGTACCATTAAAATACTTGAACCCTTCTGGTATATACTACCTTTACAAGTCAGATCAAATAAAAGAAAAATTATTGCTGCCGTATCTGGAATGGTGCTACCCAGTTGTCCCAAGTAGAACACACCCAGCCATTTATGCAATCTAGAATCATTCTCAATCTCTTCGTATACCACTGGCAAGAAAAAGTTACTCTAAGACAGTTTCTTCCCGCGAACTGTTATTGTTATCTATCCTACATATCCTCATAATCTACAACTCTTACTTTTTACTGTTCCATCCACACAACAAACTAATTCAGTAACCCTCTACCTTGAGTGGACCCTGGGCCTTGTACTAGGTAAAAAATAGAATATGTGTAAGTGGATAGTAGAAAAAGTTACTTTCAACAACAAAAACAGAAAGTTGTAGATCATAGTGATCGTCAAAGTTCATTAAAGACGTAGCATATAAAAGAAGAATCGGTTTGCTTGATTTGTTCACTTTTTAATTATATATGGTATAAAATGATAATTGGAAAAAAATCTTAGATTTTGCCGACGCGTTTCGTCTTCCGACTTTTTCAAGACAAAAATGAAATCTAAATGTTTTTGTTGTTATAGTTACATTAAAAAATCCAAATTTAAAAAGATAGACGCTTCTGTCTAAGCCTTTTTTTCTGGTTAATGTAAATTACCTTTATAATAAGTGATTTTTTCCAGTAAAATTCCCAAATGAGAAAAAATCATTTAACCTCGATAAAATAGTTCCTAGCAGATTTTGTCTATTTATATTTGATTTTTCTATTTCCTTTGTGATGACATTTGCATTAAATCAAAACTGTAAAAACAAAGTGAAAGTAAATTCACATGAAGGATATCGTAAAAGAAAAATCTTGGACTCTACTTTTATGTAATTTTTAATACGGGAAAGTGAAGAAAGATTTTTAACACGACACACAGATTTTAACCATATATATATATATATATATATATATATATATATATATGAATGTATGTATTTGACAAGTGTCTTATGTCTAAATTTATGCTAAAGTGTATTTCCTCTTTGCATTAATTTAATTTAATTTTAATGAATATGAGTATGGAGGTGTAACATCGCCCTCTCTCGTACACTTCATGTACAGAATGCGATGGATGAAATGTCGTATAAATTACACAAAAATAGAAACAGACTTTCGCTTAAACCACAACTTTCGGACTTCGGAATCTCCTGCCACTCCTCTGGACGGTTTCCTTGTTTAAGTTAGTGAATGTTGCCATAATCCTTGCCTTCAGTTCATATTTGGTGTTAAAAGAAATTTTGTTGGTCTCTCACTAAACTGTCCATAACACATAATAATCAAGGAGATTGCAGTCTTGGGAGTTAGGTGGCCTGATGTAAGGGGTGATGTGGTCGCAGAAATTGTCTGACAGCTATTATTGGGTTCTCCTGCTTGTGTGGCATGGTCAAGTCTTGTTGCCAGACATAGGGTCCCTCAGCAGCCACCCTCTTGACTCAGGGCAGCACTATTTCCCGAAGGCTCTTTACGTAGGCCTCCGTGTTTATTGGGAGGGCCCCCACTAACAAATTTGGGAGTTTTTTCTTATCAGAATGAGTATGAGAATGAGTTTACCGAGCTGCCAAACCTTCATAATTACAATTAGACTCATCCAACTCTTGCCGAATCCTCTTCACTGTCCTCAGATTGATACTCAAACACTCTGAAATGTTCATATCGGAGCTTTCGGCACGAATGCAAAGCAGTACAAATTTCTGGCAGAATGAATTGTGTCATGGTGCTCTTTTTCTCCAAGTGAACCTACTATACTGTGCAGTAGACAAAATCAAAAATAAACTGCACGCATACACAAAATTAAAAAATAAATTGTCGACAATTTACCCATCGCACCCTGTATATAGTATTATTAACTTAGATTAGTAGACATTACTTATTAAATATCTATATAACAAAGCATTCTAGAAACTTTAAAAATGTACTTTGTCTTGTTACATTAAATTTCATTTGGTTTATTTTTTATCTTGTTTCAATTTTAATTTTCTATTGTTACTTAGTAAGATTTATTATGAATTTATAATCTTGATCAACAGAATGTACATGTCTATTGCAGAGATGTTATTACATCACACATACACATTTAGCTCCTCTCACGCCTGATAACTTCAACTCAATTTACTTTTTTTTCCCATTCTTTAAATTCAGAATTTTTATTTTGTCATTCTTGCGATAGGAATGGTTGCTGCTATTGGAATTTCCAACCTTAGGAGTGTCTCTCTGGATTCTTCCCGAAACCTTTTCGTGATTGGAACTTCTCTTCTTCTCGGCTTGTCTTTACCAATGTGGATACAACAGAATCCTGGAAAGATAAATACTGGTAAGTCAGGAAAACTGAATAAACACTAAAACCATTCGAATTGTAACTTATTTTCATTCCCCAATCATATGAGAATGGTTGATATGATAATCAAAGAGGTATTTTGATATATCGATTTTTCATTGGAAAAGTGAAAGGTTCTTTTAAGAAACTAAGTTTTTAGAGTCTGGAAACTTTCGTTAGAAACAAAGAGTGCTAAGCTGCTATGTATTATCTGATCTCCTATATATTAGCGAATGCTGAACACTCCCCTCACAAAATGGGAGACTTGAAACAACATATGTAGTTCTACTAATGATTGCTGAAAATAACATTAACTGAGCATGTGAGCAATGAAGAAGTTTTATGGAAAATAGGAATAATAAGAACACTTATATTTACAATCAGAGACACTTTCTTGGACACATAATGATGAAAGAGTGTCTAGAGTATTTAACACTGACACTGCAAACTAAAAGCAAGAGACGCAAAGGAAACAGCGAGTTACCTATCTCACTAATGTGTGCGAATTAATGGTAAAACAGGAACAATGAGGAACGGAGATGAAGACAATAGTCCGAATAATGTAAATGTTTTCTTTCCGTCTTTGCTAACAGCACTGTGTCATCTGCATTGTGGCCGCCAATACCGAATCCTGGGAGAACAACTAATTTTCTCAGAATTGCCTTGCTATAAAGGTTGAATAAGTCTGGTGATATGACATTTTAGTATATTTACTGTACTCATTTTCTATTAAAATTCAGGCGGCCTGCTGCCAGTATGAGTTCTTGGTTATTATAATGACCTTCCCAAGTATTTCTAGGATACTGAGCAGTTCTAACAGGTCTTTGTGGCATACTTTACCAAATGGTTTTGCGTAGTCTATAATTCATAGGTACACATCCTTCTGTATTTGCATTACTCTTTTTGATAAAATTTCTGAACATAAATATAGCCTTCTTTCCTTGTTTCTGTTGTCTTTGACAAACCCACACTGTTCTTGTTTTCTCTCTAATCTGATTCTGCTGCGCGCTCTATTCATCAGAATTCGGATGATGAGTTTTGTTCTATGACTCATTAGGCTGATTGTCTGATGGATTTCATATTTTTCTGCACCTGGTTTCTTAGGAAGTGCTATGAAAATATATCTACTTAGGTCTTCCGGTATATCGCCATTGTTGTAGATTCAATTTATTATTTCTGTAATCTTGTATTTGCCGAAAATCATCTGAGGCTGCCTACATATCTATTATGAATCTGTCTGCTGTTTTGCTTCTGTTCAATTTGACCAGTGCTGCTGGTTTTTAATATTTCCGATCCGTCAGTATTTCTGTATATTGCCAGTTGTTCTCTTTCGACGTGGAAGAGTTCTCCGATATATTGAATTTCTAAGCCAGACTTAGATGTGGCACAAGGCCGAAAGTATGGGGCACCCAGTGAGAATCGAACTCATTACTCAGTCGTAATTGACCTAGCAAGACAAGCTTTCAAACCAATACACCACGTTTGTTCAATCACTGAAGCATTTTTCTTACTCTAGTATCATCATTTCGTCCTTTGATTTTATTCATCCTGTTGATGAGCATGTCTTTTAACCTGTTCTCTTATTTTTTTATGCATATCTGCTTTATTTGTGCTTTATCATTCTTTCTATTCCTGCACATTTCTTCTTGAGAATTTCCTATTTAGACTGTCTGCATTTGTTCCTTATTTCTTTGTCTAATGTTCTGTGTCATGTTCTTTTTTTTTGTCCCCTTTTGATCATGTCAAGAATCTCCTCTGACATCAATTCATTTTTCTTGGCCTATTTACTTTTGAGACGATCTCATTTTCTGATGTCATTAAGGCTCCTCTTAGATTTCAAGTTTTCATTTTCCTTTTGTATATCGCATCTGCTTTTCACGCTGTCCATGTATTTCTCCTTCAGGTTCGGGTCGTTCTGGAGTCTATGGTATTGAATTTTGGGCACTGCCTTAATTTTTATCAATTTCAATAGTTTCAATTAAAGTCTACATATAACAGGGAGGTGGTTGCTTCCACAGTCGGCACTTGGATAGGTTTTGCAGTGTACAACTGCATTCTTGAATCTCTTGTTGATAGTTATGTAGTCAATTTGTTATTTTGTTTCTCAACCTGGGCTCCTCCATCGCCATATTCGTCTTGGATGTTCTTGAAACCAGGTGTTAACTAATACCTGCTCATTTGTTGTATACCATTATACCCAGTTGGGTTAGCCTTATATCTTTTAAGAGTTTATCATTTCCGTCAAAAATCATATTTGATTATACCAGATATTGGTATTTTGCTAAATCCTTAATATTCTGAGGTTTTCTTATTATAAAAGTAGCCTGTGATGGTTCTTTATTGGATGTGAAATTTCCGTCAAAAATCATATTTGATTATACCAGATATTGGTATTTTGCTAAATCCTTAATATTCTGAGGTTTTCTTATTATAAAAGTAGCCCGTGATGGTTCTTTATTGGATGTGAAACTTTCACAAATTAAGGGGCAATAATGGGCCAATACTTATTACTCATTTTCAGATGTTATCTAATATACCACAAGGTTACAGCAGCTGGTATAATCAATGGGTCGTCAATATATAATATACATATAGGTCCATTTAATGGAACAGTTAATTAAGTTCGAGGCATTAAAACAACAAAAATTTAAAAATACTGTCTATAAGATTGGTTATATTCAAAATGTAGGCCTTTTCATTACACCAAAGAATAAAAATGGGAATTTTGGGATACAATTTTATAAGAGACAGAAAATTTTCTATATATATATATATATATATATATATATATATATATATATATATTCTACTTTAAAATATGGTTCCATTGCTACACCGGAATTACCATGTTTCAAAACAGAAACTAACATTTTAAATTTAATTATAAAATTAAATTTAAAATCAATAGCACCGTCCCATTCTCACGCGATCTTTGGAATAATCAATGAAGAAGTTTACTTAATATTTTAAATTGTTAAGGTTTAGGAAGATTAAATGAGTTTGATAAGGGGTGGCATACTTTTAATATCCCTAGACAACTTATGAATCAAATATAAGTTACTTTCAATATTAGGTTAAGTTAAGGTGGCATTTTTATTTAGCTGCCTAATTTATAATTTTATACACAAAGATTTCTTTAAAAGGGTTGTCTGAACATGAGTAAGTCGTATTTTAATATTTAAAATCGATTTCTACAAATTTAAAGTACTTTTCTACATATAATAACTTTCAGACTTTCAGACTATATGTTATTTTTTACAATTAAATATATTTTAATGGCATAAGTATTCAAAAAAGTTATTAATCAAAGATCAA